TCTAACTACTGGTTTATTCCCCCAAATGCTTGCAACAGTAGCTGAGCCAGACTGAAGCCAGACCTGGAACTCATTCCAGATTTCCCATGTGAGTGGCAGGTTGAGCCATAATCTGGTACCTTCCAGGATACACATTAGCAGGAAGCTGGATGGAAGTGGAACTGGGACGCAAACCCAGGTACTCTGATAAGCGTTATAGCATCAAGGATATAGCATCACGTAGGAATCATAAAGTCAGACCTTCTCCAGAGGAGCCATCAGAACTGATCTGAAAGAACTGTACTTATCCAAGTCATATTCATTCATTCATTCATTCATTCTTTATTCTATTGGCTATTCAAAATTTCAGACTCATTTTATAAAAATACAAGATATAAAGAAGGCCTTGAAAAATCACCTGCAGTCTCACTATTCACTGCTTGTAACTTTTTGTGTGTTCTCCTCCTGCTGCTCTCCTCCACCATGAATGTAGAGGAGGCTATATATGGGACATATATGCATTCTACCCTCTTATATGTGAATGCATGTATCCTAAAAGCATATATAAATACATGTTTGCCATTATTTTTCATCTTATTTCCTTGTGAAAAAAATCCAAGAGGTAAAATAAGCAAGTAAAAGGAGGTGAACACTATTAAAACTCCTGCCTTGGGGCCAGCGTCATGGTGCAGTGGGTTAAGCCTCCATCTGGGATGCTGCAATGCTGGTTCAAGACCCTGCTGCTCTGCTTCCAATCCAGCTCCCTGCTAAAGCCCCTGGGAACACAGCAGAGGATGGCCAAGTACTTAAGTCCCTGTCACCCGCATGGGGACCCAGATGGAGTCTCCCGGTTGCTGACTTTGGCCTGGTCAGCCCCGGTTTTTGTGGCCGTTTGGCCATTGTGAACCAGGAAGAAGAATGCTCTCTCTCTCTCTCTCTCCTTTTTTTTTTTTTAAGATGTTATTTATTTGAAAGGTAGAGTTACAGAGGGAGAGACAGAACTTCTATCCACTGGTTCACTTCCCAAATGGCCACATTGGCCAGATCTGGGCAAATCTGAAACCAGGAGCCAGAAGTTTCTTCTGGGTCTCCCACACAGGCCACCTTCCACTGCTTTCCCCAGCCATAGCAGGGAGCTGGGTCTGAAGAGGAGCAGCCAGGACTTGAACTGGCGCCCATATGGGATGCTGGAGCTGCAGGTGGAGGCTTAGCCCACTACACCATCAGTGCCAGCCTGACCGTCTATTTGTCTGTCTGTCTCTCTTCCTCTCTCTCTCTGCCTTTCAAAAAAATAAAATAAATCTGAAAATTAAAAAAATTGCCAATTTGTAGTCTCATCTTAAAGTTCGCAGGGAATAGTTACCCACCTCCTCCAGTAACCTAGGAAAATATGTAGATAAAAGGGTGTCACGTATGACAAACGTTATTATTAGGAAGAATGGAGTATCTTCAGTATCCGCACTAAATCCCATCAGCTGGACTAACTTCACACCTGTTCCTGCTTGTCTTTGTCTCAGAGGAATTAAGAACAGCTGCTTCCTACTGCACCCCAAACAACCTCCAGGAAGAGAAATCTGTGGTTCCATTTTTCCCTACCCTCTTAGTGTCCTTTGATGTGGCCGGAAGGGACCCTGGATTGTTTGCATTTGCAAGGCCCCACTGTGACCCACAGGGCTTTTCTCCTGGGCGTGTTTTCCAGCTGCTCCATCCCAGACAAAAAAGCCCATTCCTCCCAACAGAGATCTCTGGGAAAGGCCCCAGCAGACCAGAGACGCGTATAGAGATGACCTCACTCGCCCACAAGCAACACACTCCTATTTATACGCCTAAGACTCAGCCTGCTAATGCAGTGCAGATTCACGGCTCAGTGATCAGATTGTATGGTCTTGACCTCTACTGTAAACGAATTCCAAGAAAGACGCTCCTGCGGCCCATTTCTGAATCTCTTTGGGCTCATCACCCAAAGAAAGCTTTCCTTCTAAAAATGGTTCCCAGATTCATCACAGATCTCTTTAGGAATATGAGCGTGGAGAAGAAAGGAGATTGAGTTTAATCATGTGTAAATTGAAAATGAGATAATTACAGCCAAGTTCTTGAAGCTGTCATCTAGGAAATGGCCTTTGGCTTTAATAGAACTTGCCTTTATAATGATGAAATAATAAGAACAGCCAGCACTCTCTGGGGACTCACCACATGTCAGGCACTGGGCTTAGCATTTTGTTTATACTTGTTTAATTCCTCACAGTAATGCTATGAAGTGAGTACAATGATTACCTCATTTTTACAGAGAAGAAAACTGAGACTAGATGTACTTGTAGACATACAAATGTATCTTACAAACACAATGCTTCATTTAAAGAAAAGTAAGAAGCACTGTGAGAAATCCAGCAGGCCATGTATAAAGTTAGAAGATTTGCATATAAAACAATACCCATTTTTTTGAGAATACAGCAAAACAGAACATCAACCGTGGTTACCTAGGGGGAGTAGGACAGGAGTGGGGGATGGGGATGGATAATAACAGGTCTTGCAGGTAACAATGAGGAGGACAAGGTGCCATGAACTGAGCAATACAGCACCTTAGTCCTCTACACCTGTGATCCAAAGAAAAGAACAGCTCTGAAGTTTACAGCAGGGAGAGGTTAGTGTGAGGTCACTTCAAACAGACTGTGGAAAAGTGGAATTCATAGGAAGTTTATTTTGGGGCAAAACTTTTTGAAACCCTTGCATAGCTTTTCTATAATATGCATTCTCCACAAACTTTCTGAAGACTTCTAGCAGATTGCTCTGAGTTACAGAACCAGAGACCTAGAATCAAACCCAGGTGTCTTATACTTGCCACCTACGTAGTATGGCTCTAACTAGCCTGTGAATCTTCAGTTCTTGAAAAGATATCTGCCACATAGCTAAACCTCGTTAGGATGCCACATGTGGCCTTCAGTACTTACAGTTTATATACATTTCTAATATATTTATTAATTTACTTGAAAGGCGAAGTGATGGGGTGGGGGTGGGAATGGAGAGAAAGGGGAAGAGAGAGAGGGAGAGAGAGAGGAAGGGAGAGAGTGACAGAGGGAGGGAGAGAGTGAGAGCTCTTCTATCAGTTAACTCACTCCCCAAATGGCTTCAACAGCCTGGCTGGGCCAGACCAAAGCCGGGATCCAGGACATCCTTCTGGGCCTCCCACATGGGTAGCAGGGGCCCAAGTACTTGGACCTTTCTCCACTGCCTTCCCAGATACATTAGCAGGAAGCTGGCTCAGAAGCAGAGTGGCCAATACTTGAACTGACACTCTGATATGGGATGCTGGCATAGCAAGCAGCTGCTTAATCTGCTGTGCAACATTTATAGTTTGTAATTAAAAATGATGTATATGTTTATCTGAAAGTCAGAGAGAGGGAGAGATCTTCGATCCTCTGGTTCACTCTCCAGGTAACCATAATGGCCAGGGCTGGGCTAGCTCAAAGCCAGGAGCCAAGAGTATCATCTGGGTCTCCCACATGGGTGGCAGGAGCCCAAGAACTTGGGCCATCTTCTGATACCTGCCCAGACCATTAGCAGGGAGATGGATTAGAAGTGGAGCAGCAAGACATGAACTAGTGCCCGTACGAGATGCCAGCAATGCAGGCAGTGGCTTTACCCACTATGCCATAATGGCAGTCACAACAGCTTTTAATTTTGTATAATATAAAAATATATTTGCTAGGATTTTATTTTTTATTTATTTATTTATTTTTGACAGGCAGAGTTAGACAGTGAGAGAGAGAGAGAGAGAGAAAGGTCTTCCTGTGCCGTTGGTTCACCCCCTAAGTGGCCGCTGCGGCCAGCGCGCTGCGGCTGGCACACCGCGCTGATCCTAAGCCAGGAGCCAGGTGCTTCCTCCTGGTCTCCCACGCGGGTGCAGGGCCCAAGGACTTGGGCCATCCTCCACTGCACTCCTAGGCCACAGCAGAGAGCTGGACTGGAAGAGGAGCAACCGGGACAGAATCCGGCGCCCCGACGGGGACTAGAACCTGGGGTGCAGGCGCCGCAGGTAGAGGATTAGCCTATTGAGTCGCAGCGCCGGCCAGGATTTTATTTTTTTAAAAAGCTTTATTTTATTTATTTTAAAGGCAGACTTAACAGAGAGAGAGAGAGAGAGAAAGATCTTCCATCTGCTGGTTCACTCCCCAAATGGCCACAACGGTCAGGGCTGGGCCAGGCCATAACCAGGAACCAGGAGCCTTTTCTGGATCTCCCACATGGATGTAGGGGCCCAAGCACTTGGGCTGTCCTCCACTGCTTTTACAGGCTATTAGCAGGGGGCCGGATCAGAAGTGGAACAGCCAGGACCCAAAGCAGTGCCCTTATGGGATGCCAGCATCGCAGGCAGTGGCTTTATTTGCTATGCCACAACACCAGCCCTCGGTAGGATTCTTAGATGCCATACTAAATAGCCAGCCATTCATCTATTCATTCACCGTGTTTTTATTGAGTGTTTAATATGTGCCAGGCACTGGGTCAGGCACAGGGCAGAGATGAACCAGCCAGAACTCGGCCTCTATGAGCTCCCTGCTACTAACCCATTCCCTAATCACTGCCAGGCAGATCTGTCTGCTCCTGCCGCTCTTTCACAGCTCTGCTATCAGAACACAGATGTGCAGTGCACGCCTCACCTGCACGTGACTTCCTAAACACCGGCTAGCTTATATTAAGATCTTTTGAGTCTCCCCCAATAAAGTTGGCTGTAACAGCAACAACACTCATTTCCATTGCTGGGAATTTATTTCCTGTAGCTAATCCTTCTAAAGCACTTGACCAAAAAAAAATATGCAATGACAATCCTGCTACTTATGGTAAAAGCTGCCTCATTGACTCCTGGAAACCTCTCTTTTCATGCCAGGGAGTGAATGTTTCAGACACGCATTGGAAAGGAGAGAAGAGAGGAATGTCAGACTAGGAATCCTAGTGTGGCCCTGAGAAAGCCACAAAGCCCCAGGATTGCAGGCTTGGTTTGGACTCCTGGGAATCCCTCGACTTACCTCAATGGTTTTACAGGTGTCCTCCAGCTGACTGATCACGCCCTGAACCCGATCATTGCTTCCCACAAGGACGGCGATGCCATCACTGAGCTCAGACTAGTGAAGAGAAAAAAGGGACTCAGGATCGTAGGGATTCCCAATCTCCCCCAATTGTGGGTTCATCATAGGGCTGTCCTCCTGCATTCTTAGATTAGGGTGCATGCAGTCCTTAAGGAGTAACAATGATGCTTGGAACCTCCTGACAGCACAAGCGAACCTTCGTATGTGAATGCATTAGTGTGAAAAGAGAGTCCACAGTTCTGCTCGCATTCTTAACGGAGAGCGTGATTCTGAAAACACTAAGAACACTGAACTATAAGCCACTGAGAATAGCATATTCAATCAAAGGATTTTAGGCAGAGGCCAGAGCAGCACTGTTACCTTCTGCCTCTGGAACACGTGCGTGAGCGGAGCCACCTGACAATCCTTGTGTGCGCCGAACACCTTGCACAGGGAGCAGGTGGGCACTTCGCAGTTGAGACAGTAGATGTTGATGCGCTCCTCTTCGTGCTCCTCACACATGGGCTGGTCAGACTTCTTTTCTGGCCTGGGTGGAGTAGGTAGGCAGATAAATGTCCATCAGCTCCGGCTGGGGCAGAGTGGAGAGTTTAGGCCACTTTGCAAAGCCTAGCTCCTCCCTGCACCCCCAGTGACCCTGTCCTGGACGACTCCTAGGGAGCCCTTCTTGTACTCAGAGCCCACCAAATTTGGCTTCTTAGTAACGGGGTGCTGACAAATCTCTAACAACTGCTTGTGGCAGGGGTGGGATGCCAAGGCTCTGATTTGCAGCATATACCAATTCCCGAGGTGTGAATATTTCCATCATAGATGATTTCAAGTTATTCAAGGTTTTAAAACTGGCTAAAGGGGGGGGGTGCTAGTTATGGTGGAAAAAGCTGCTAGCAGCATCCCATATGGACACCAGGTTGCATCCCCACTGCTCTACTTCCTATCCAGCTCTCTGCTATGGACTGGGAAAGCAGTGGAAGATAGCCCAAGTCCTTGGACCCCCTGCTCCCAAGTACTTCTTCCTTCCTGGCTCCTGGCTTCGGACCAGCCCAGCTCTGGTCATTGCGGCTATTTGGGAAGTGAACCAGCAGGTGGAAAATATCTCTCTCTGTCTCTGCCTCTCTCTCTCTCTCTCTCTCTCTCACACACACACACACACACATACACACACACACACTGCCTTTCGTATAAATAAACAAATCTTAAAGAAAAAAAAAAGAAGAAGAAGAAGAAGAAGAAAAGAAAAAGAAAAATTGGCTAGAGAAACTCCTGAAAGTTGAACACTGGGCTCAGGGCAAGCACACGATTCTCAAGAGACATTTTCCCATTATGAGCAAAGAAGGGGAGTTTGCCTAGCAGTTAAGATGCCCAAGCCACACAGCCTGAGTGCCTCGGTTTCATCCCATCTCTAGCTCCGTATTCTAGCTTCTTGCTAATGGAGACCCTGAGAGGCAGCAGTGATGGCTCTGAAGTTAGCTTCCTGCCTTCCATGTGCTGAGACTTGGATTGAATTCCTGGCTCCCTCACCCCTGTTGGATATTTGGGAAATGAACCAGCAATAGAAGCACATGCTCTCTCTCTCCCTCTGAAATCAAGTTTTAAAAATCAAGAGGGGAGGTGTTCTGAAAAGCTAAATCTCGATTTTGTACCAACTTTTCAGAGGAGCTCAACCACAGCCCTCTAGCCCCAGGAGAGGCTCCACATAAAGAAGGGAGGATAACAGTGGCTAGGGGAACCGGGAGCTGTTCTCATGGTTGATGTAGGATAACAGTGGCTAGGGGAATCGGGAGCTGTTCTCATGGTTGATGTAGGATAACAGTGGCTAGGGGAACCGGGAGCTGTTCTCATGGTTGAGGTAGGATAACAGTGGCTAGGGGAACCGGGAGCTGTTCTCATGGTTGAGGTAGGACCAGGTGCTGGCTGGAGGATGCTCTGTGGAAGAGGAAGGAGTGAATATGATCTCCTTATGCTAAACCCAGCACTTTCAACATATTCTCTCTAAAGATGGAGGCTGTTAACAGTTTTCAGTTAATTATTGGAAAACCTCAAATCCAGATCCAAAAGCTGTCCTCAGATTTCCAGAATTACTTAGAAACATCTTAGATTTGAGACCTTTTTTAAGGTGCTATTGAGGTCCATTTTTAAACTACTGGTTTTTATGGGTCACAAAATCTATTATTATAGACCATAAAATCAGTTTAGGGGGTTATAACTAGTATTGTTAAAAATCAAAATAAAATGGGATTATAAATATTGTGAATTAAATGTAGTAAGAATTACTATGAAATATTATAAATTGCATGTGGTAAGAATGAGTATTGATATAATGCATATGTGTATGTGTGCATATGTTCATGAAGAGACTTCAAAAAGTTCATGGAAAGGGCAAGTGTTCTGGTATAGCCGGTAAAGCCACCACCTGCATCCCATATCAGCACTGATTCCTGTCCCAGCTGCTCCACTTCTGAACCAACTCCTTGTTAATGGCCTGGGAAAGAGAGCCCAAGTGCTTGGGCTGCCCTTTACCCACATGGGAGAGCTGAAAGAAGCTCTTAGCTCCTGGCTTTGGCCTGGCCCGGGCCCAGCCATTACAGTCATCTGGGAAGTGAATAAGCAAATGGAGGCTCTCATTCTCTCTGTGTAGCTCTTTGAAATAAAAAAATAGATCTCTTTTAAAAGGAAAAAAAGTACCTGGAAAAATGAGATTCAAAGATAAGTTTATTTTGGTGCAAAACTTATTGAAATCAATACAGTTTCTTCACAATGCACATTTTCCATAAACTTTTTGAAGACTTCTCACATGCAGTTTCAATATTTTTTGCACCAAAATAAACTTAGCTTTAATTGAATCTTCCATAAACTTTTTGAAGTACTTCATACACATATACATGTGACTACACACCTGAAACAACAGATGTATTCAATACAGACCTATTCATATACCTACCATAATGTAAAATATGCTTTCTACTGCAAGCCACAAATGCAAATGTTTGAACCCCACTAATACTGATGTGTGTGTATGGTTTGTATCTGCAGCATCTAACTCAGTGAAAGGCAGAGAGGACTTGCTGATGCACCACTCTCCAATAGGCTCTAGAAAGAAGTCAAATACTTGAGATTGAGTTAACCACTGAGAGAAGCCCTGAGGCTTGTAAGCATAGATTTCCAGTTGCAAGATTTTAGAATCTGATTTTTGCAAAAGAAATTTCTGTTTTGTAGTAATATGCTTTCCATGAAACCTATGACCTTCTCTCTTGACCACACGCTTGGAACTCAAATAAACGAGGTAAGACCCACAATTGAGAAAATGGAGATGCCCCCTTCCGGATCTGTTTCCTTGACTAGAATGTGAGCTCTTGAGCTCCATGAAGGCAGAGGCCATGAGCTGTCTTCTTTTCTGCTGGCTCCCCAGTCTGCAGAACAGTACCTCACATGGTGGGGGTGAGAGACTCAGTACTCAGTGTTTGTTGATAGAACCAGTAGGAAATTTAAAGGAAATTTGCCTAATTAATGGATAGTATTTCCAGTGCTCTGATCTAACACCACCCAGACACAGGAAATATGGGAAAATCTGGGGTTACTTAGCATTCAGGAATGGCAAAGGAAGAGACCAGACAACCTGAACACCGAGTTCAAAAATGACAAAGCCCTCTGGGGGTCATCTAGGGACTGGCTTGTCAGTCTCCATCTGGTCAAAGGCAGGTGCACCTCTGAAGCTTTTCCTTGCACAAATCTCTGCCTTGTAGTAAATGTGGTGAGGCTGGACCTGGAGCACAATTACCAGAAACTGGCACAGACGGTACTACCATGGCTCATCTTCCATAGGGCAGCCTGGGTCTCATGTGCTGCTTTGACGTCAACTGCTATGACCAGAGACAGTGATGGAGAGCACAGATGTATGCAGTGTGTGCAGTTACTGAAATTGTGGAAACAGCCATTAGGCTCTGTGTTTGGTTCTGTTTATGGTTCAATTATTTTTCATGATACAATTTTACACAGAGAACTATTTCCCATATTTCTTATTGAATTTTTCTTGTTTAGGTTGCAACACAGCCCAGGGGTACTACCCATTTAAAATGGGCATATAATAGAAACCTCTGAATAACTTAAACATTTAATAGAATAGAGACAAATACTGCATATGGAATAAAGATGAAAATATATTTTAATGAAGAGAGAGTGCCCCAGCTCACAGATGTGGTTCAGGGCTCAGTGCCAAATGTTGGCAGTGGTCTTTAGCAGTTCAGGGCAGGCCAGATAGAAAAGGATATAGCCTGCTCTCTTTGGTCTTTGAGGCTTCTGCAACCACTCTGGAGATTCCTGAAGAGTGGGCATCTGGCCTCGGTGAGGTGATCTGGCAGTACCTCTGTGGTCATATGTCCTTAAAGTTTTACTCCCGCTCAGCTCCTCCATATGGTGGCTCTATGGGCTTAGACAACCTGCTTAACCTCTGTTAGACACAGTTTTTACTCATATCTAAAAAAGTCACTGGGTGGCAGTTCAGTGCCATGACTACGATACCACTTGTTACACCTGTGTCCCATATCAGAATGCCTGGCTTGGAGTCTCGGCTCTGCTTCTGATTCCAGCATCCTGCTAGTGTGTACCCTGGGAGGCAGCAGGTGATGGCTCAAGGACTTCAGTCCCTGCTACCTCCTAGTTTTGGCCAGGTCCAGCTCTAGCAGTTGTGGCTAGTTGGGGAGTGAACCAGCAGAAGAGAGGTCACTATCTGTCTCTCTCTTTTAAGTAAAATGAAAATAAATAAAAATTTTAAAAATAAATATAAGAATCAGGCAAAAGATCTTCTAATTAATTGTGACAGAATGAACACAGGCATTTATTTTATTTATCTTTCTGAAAACCCACTTACATGAGAGTGAGGAAATAAAAAAGTATAAATGAAAAAGAACAAAAAGTGAGCAGGATGAGAGCTCTCGAACAAATGTTGGAAAGTTGAGACATATTGATGAAAGGAAGTGACCTACTTGGCTTGTATCTTATGTCTGCAGGGAAGAAGTCTACAAGAAGCAAGCTAACGTGCACTGTGGAAACCTGGGAATGTTCTGGAATTGCAGAGACAAACACCCTGGAGTCAGGAGTAGGGGAGGGGCTGGACATTTTAGGAGTTTACTTAAGGATGTATTCCATAAAAACAAGAGAGTAAATCAATGAAGATAAGAAACACAGGATCCAGGAAGCAAGGGTTTAAATGGGCGGAGAGTAAAGAAAATTCCTTGGTAGAGTGTAAAGGTCAGCCTTGTGAGGGACTCAGTCCTGAGACCACCTGTGCTGGAAAGTCAGCAATGTCTAAAACTGCAAAATCAAGAACTAGGTGCCAGACATAATAGGTATATACGTATCATTGTCGATAAATAGAAAAATAGCTGAAGGAATTAAAAGAGGTTGACTCGGGGAGTGAGACTTGGAGTGAAGAGAATGGGGCAGGGACTACACTTATCACTAGAGGCCTTGTGGTACTGTTGAATTTTTTAAGTCATGTATGTAAATTATTTTGACTAAAATATTAAAAACCTTTCAATGGGTAATATTAATAGAAATCACCATCTCACAAGGTTGTTGTGAGAATTAAAGATGATTCATGTGTAAAACATGAAACATGTCTGACACATAACACATAGTTTCACTTATTATATTTTAAAGTTAATTATTATGTTATTAATATTAACCAAGGGGCTGGCACTGTGGCATAGCAGGTAAAGCCACTGCCTACAGTGCTGGCATCTCATATGGTTGCCGGTTCTAGTTCCAGCTGCTCCACTTCCTATCCATCTCTGCTATGGCCTGGGAAAGCCGCAGAACATGGCCCAAGCCCTTGGGCCCCTGCATCCTCAAGGGAGCCCCAGAAGAAGCTCCCGGCTCCTGGCTTCGGAGAAGCTCTGGCTGTTGCGGCCAATTTGGGAGTGACCCAGCGGATGGAAGACCTCTCTCTCTCTCTCTCTCTCTCTCTTTCTCTCTACCTCTCCTTTTCTCTGTGTAATTCTGACTTTCCAAATACATAAATAAATCTTTAAAAAATATATTAACCAAATTAGTACCTTCTCTTGCCATCCCCCAAACTACAGGCTAGTCTAGCACCGTGTGGCATTCCAAAACAGAAGCTAGGTTTTGTCAAGACCTACAGTCTGGCTGTTCTGTGGGAGGTTAGAATTAACCAGTACCTCCCAGTCTGTATTTAACATCCCCCTCTGTTTTGCACCACCACATCCTAATGACTTATGGGGTCATCTCTGCCCATGCAAGGTCATTCCGAAGTCATCTAATGTGTTCCTAGACTCAGGGTTCTGATATGGCAATGCTGTCAATATTCAGAAAACAACTGGGTTTACACCCACAGTGGCCAAGCCCTCTGGGCAACTTGTGGTTTTACTCCCAAGTAAAAATGCCCCAAAGGCAAGTCTCAAATTCAAGAAACAACAGTGTAAGAAGAATTTGACACTCACAGAAACATTCCTAGTCTACTCAGAGATGAGCTTTATTGTTGGAAATTTGGTTCATTGCTTTTGCTTCCCAGCCCTTGGTACTATTTTTGGAGCTGTACTAAGCAGATTTCATAATTAAAGGAAGGTTATGTCTTCTAGTTTTACCAATGCCACAGTTTTAACATCTCTGGGTTTTATCACAAGTGTTATTTTTCACATTGTACCCCACAATGCAAGTAGTAAAGCAGAAAATTATTGGAATACATCAATAGAACATGTCAGAATATTTGTGGTATTGCTTAATCAGTAGGCATTTACAGAGCAATTATTCTGTGCAAGGCACTGTAGGAGGTACTGAAACAGTTTTCAGATAAACTCCTTGGATAATTCGTTGGTTATTAATTGGCTGCTTCATTTTTTCTAAGAGTTTGTATGTGCATTTGCATTTTAAAGTAATGAAATAGAATGAGATCAGATCTATGAGGAAACAGGACAAAAGTAGTACTTTGCTTCTTGGCAAGAGACTTTAGGAGCAAGGGAAGGAGCTGGCTACAAACTCTGCAAGTATGCCATCAGTATTTCTTCTCCAGTCCCATATCCTGATACTATCTAATTCAGTTTTGAATCTTGGGCAGAAAGTGATATCCATAATAATTACAGTAATTATGTTAGATTTATAGAACAGCTTTCCTCCGAAGAGCTCAAGGCTCTTAGAGCCCTGCAGATGTTCCATCAATACTTGTCCCTTAACAAGAATCACAATGAGGCCTTTGCTAGGTGGTCTCAATGCTGCCACCAAGCTTTGTGGACTGGACTGACCTGTGCATAATTGAAAAAGAGCTCTTTATGTCATGCCTTCTAGGAATAGCTTCCGCAGTGTTGCCTCTAGGAAAGGAACTCTATAGCCAATGTGGTTTGATGAATAAGGAGTCTTTTTTGAAGTGAATGAATGTGTATACTTATGTGTATATGTATACTATGTGTCAGTCAATCAACAAGTGGATGCTAAGAGAGTAAGTCAATACAGTCTAAGGAACAGGAAAATACAAACTGAACTCCAACCTTTTTTTTTCTTCAGATCTCCAAAATTAAGTCCATTAAAGCCAGGACTATTCCTAGCTTTATAACATCCCAGGAAATCAGTACAGTGATAAACTGTGTTAAAGGATTTTGTTTTTATTATTATAATCCAGATCATTCTAAGGCAAGACTGTCTGAACAAGGAACGGGGCCATTTTAGATGATGCCATTTATGTTCATTTTATGTAAGGCTTTGTGCTAGAATTTTTCTGCTAGATAGCATTTGGTGCTACAAAGGAACTGTCTAAAATGTATGTAATGAGAGGCATCAAGGTGGGACACACTATTATACCTCTCTCAACATCACCATCTAGAAAGGATGAATGATAATGGGTCCTAAATTGACACCAGCTTCCTTCTCTCCTCCCTTGGATGATCTCAGTCCCACTGGGAAGGACTGACTTGGAAAGATATTTTCCAGTGAAAAACATTAGCCTATGATTGGTAAACAATCATTCAGTGTAATAAACAAACAAAACAAGCCTCAAAGTGGGCTTGACACAGCGCTATTACCTGGTAGACTCCTGCTTGTAGATGTCAATGATATTTTCCACCAGCAGGTTCCTCTGAAGTCCATAGACTCCATGTCTGTCCAAAACTACTTCGTGCCTACAGGATGGGCATCGGAATCGGCCCCCAGACGCCACAGTTGTGCCTCCTCTTGTGGGCAAGTACGGGTTGGAGGCCTGTTCTTGCCAAACAAGAAAACAAGAAATGATTAGTGCCACACAGAGATTTTTCTGAGGCTTCTTTCACTCTCTGGGACTACAAACAGCGTGAATTTGTGCTTTGAGTTTGCCATGAGATAATCCCTCATGGCCATATCAGCAAGCGACCGTGAAACACAGGCCCCATTGTGAGCCTGAGATGCTTTCCCATCCGCTGTTTCCACAACCCAGACTTCCCGCCAGAAACTCCAACATTCATGATTTGAGCAGTCATTCATTTTCTTTTTGACACAGATTCAACAATTTGACTTTCTTCGAAAAAAATAACGCATGGATGCTGATTCTTAGTAGTAAAACCAAACTAGATTCTGGAATAAGAAGGAGGTTGACAGCAAAGCACAAAGCAAATCCTCCAAATAAAGTTTTCCTGAAAATAAATGTAGCCTTATGAAGTTTCCTAAAAGGATTTAGCTCATGTTAAGCACTCCTTTGGGAGAGGAGGGAATCTTTTCCACACAATCCCTTCCCCTTCCCCCACACACAAATTCCAAACAAACCTACCTGGAAAATATCACTGGCACATTTCCTACACAGGTTATGCTGGCAGGGGAGGATGACCACGGGCTTGGTGAACATCTCCAAGCAAATGGGGCAGATAAGTTGCTTCTCCAGGTTATCCATGGTCTGCTGCTCTTTGGAAAAAGACTTGTAATTCAGAGATGCGCTCATCTCCTGGCCGTCTGAGTTCTGCCAGGGAAAGGGTGCTCCGAACGCCTTCTAAAACTATTTCCTAGAAATAATTCCAAGGATTGTATGATCAAGTGTCCTTTACGTTTCTCTCCGTGGAGGACATTGTTTCAGGCCCTGGTTCACAGTGGGTGCCTGAGCTGTTTTTAGCAGCCCAGGGTCACGTGACCGTGAGCTGACTTGTCCATATAAGCCAGTGACAGGAGGATGGATTCTGACAGGTGACAGAGAGCAGGAGTCAACATTCTTACCCCAGGGAGTGAAGAGAGTGGGTGGGAAGGAGGATTACAAACCCCATTTAGACAGGGACAGGGGGATTGTGAGGAGAAGGAGGTCGAAGCTGACAGTTGTCAACAAGTGCAAGTGTGCATGCCTGGTCCCTGTGCCAAGCTCTCCGGGAGTGCTCGGTCAGACCCTGGTGACAGGCTTCTCCAGGAAGGGGCAGAACAAGGGCTGAGAATCTAACTGGACCACAAACGCTATCGCTATCTTGAGAATCTATGAAGTAAGTCACCAAAAGGAGCCTTACAGGTGGAAACAGACAAACAGGTGTAGAAAACCGTCGTCCCAGCTTCACAAGGGCAATATTCAGACTGGCTTAATGTTCACCTTTGTCCTGGTGGTGGTCTGGGAAAAACCCATCGTAAAAGCTGACTTCAACACAAAGATGTTCGAAAACTTAAACAAAGGCCAACTTTCAAACACTGATGATCTGATGATTCAAGAGGTTGTAACAAAAAACTCTAGTGTGCTCTTTTTTCTTCCATGTTGCTTTCCCTCCTCTGTAACCCTCTTTCATCCTGTGTTTTCCCCCCCTACACACACCTGAAAATACACAAAAATTTGGGTAGCTTTTAAAACCATAAGCTTAGTTTGCAGCAATAATCACACAGGATTGCAGACTTGTGCGTTCATTTAGCCACACATCAGGGGTCTCGAATTAGGGCCTTTGACAGCTGAAGCAAAAATGCAGTCCTGTATCCCTGTGTTTTAACCTGCAAAAATACCTTTACTCCTTTGCATCTTTGCCTTTTTCCAAGGTGGTTTTTTTAAAGAATCAATATTTTCCATGGTTATTTCTGATACTTTTGATGGGTTCTTAATTCATAAACATCAATACTAACATTTTCCAGGATTTTGTGAAACAATTGTTTAACTAGGAGAAGTCTATTTTAAAATGTTACAACATATTAAAAGCAAGAAGGAAATGTGTATCTGTTTTTGCGTGCAGACTTTTCATCTTATTTCTCCTTGATTTCAAAAACCTTGAACGATGAACACCTTTTGTCAGTGATCCCTGGAGTACACTTAATTACCAGCAGAGGTAGGTCGGTGTGACTATTCTGTGTAGTCTTAGTGTTGTGTGCCCTGAAAGCTTACTGACACTCTAATAAGCTCCATTTAACTAAAAATAAGTTATATATATTCACAAACATTTTGATGATCTTTGGAGAATTCTCTGATTCCTTTCTTTACTGATTTAGCAACTACAGACAAGGAAGAAAACTTGATTTTTTTTTTAACTTGGTTCATTCATTTCACCTAACCTAGGCAATTAATTGGGTTTATCGTTGTAGTGGTTATAGAGGTATGAGCATAGTATGTGAGATATTTCCTAGGAAAAATTTTAAATTTTTAAAATTTTGACCTTTTTGTAATGATATTTAACATAAAACACAAAGCATATTTTAATGCTTTACAAAGTTTTCTTTCCTGACATTCTGTAAGCATTTTTCCCATTCAAGTTTTTTTTTTTTTTTTTTTTTTTTGATAGGCAGAGTTAGACAATGAGAGAGAGAGACAAAGGTCTTCCTTTTCTGTTGGTTCACCCCCCAAGTGGCCACTACAGCTGGTGCACTGCACCAATCGGAAGCCAGGAGCCAGGTGCTTCTTCCTGTTCTCCCATGAGGGTGCAGGGCCCAAGCACTTGGGCAATCCTCCACTGCCTTCCCAGACCACAGCAGAGAGCTGGACTGGAAGAGGAGCAACTGGGACAGAACCGGCGCCCCAACCGGGACTAGAACCCAAGGTACCGGTGCCGCAGGTGGAGGATTAGCCTAGTGAGCCGCGGCGCTAGCCTCAAGTTTGTTTGTGTTTTTTTTTTTTTTAACTTTTTAAACTTCTGTTAAAAACTCGGATGTAGACATACACATTAGTGTTCATTTGTTTGCACCGGTATCACCACAAAGGTGAGTCATGCTTTGTGGTGGATACTTCAAGAGCTACGGTACCAACTAGGGAATGTAATGATATGAGGTTACTGTCCTATATGCAGCCTGACTTTGACTGAAGCTTCATTATGTGCTGTGTGACTGTACAGTGGAGCAGAACCTGTTCACACAGAAGGAATTCATTCCTTCATAAAGCATTCCTCGAGTATTTATCATGTGTCTTCATTGTGCGAGGCCCCAGGCACTAAATTATGAACAAAACATAAGTCATTGTCTTTCAAAAGCTCAGGCTAACAGTAGAGATAAGAGCTGGCAGACACAATGTGATCAAAAGTAGCAAAACTGCACAATAGGAGGAGTCAGGAAAACTTCATGGCTGGGGTTAGCATTTGATTGACCCACTGTGCAATTAGAAGTACCGGAGAGTTGGACAGTTAGGGGGACACAGAGGGGAAGGCCTAGAGCAGAGCCACAGAGGCGCAGATGCACAAGAATCCCCAAACATGTGGGACTGGAGCTGGCAGTCATGAATACTGAGCTGCAGAGTGTTCAGCACTTCATAAATTAAGCACCAGGATGTTGCAAATGTTTCTCACAGCACATTTCTGTTTCTGTGACAGCGCCACTGGTTACATTAATCTCTCAGGGGTGTCTCGGACAATGAGAGCAAAGGAACCTGGCCTGAGGCCAGACTGAAGGCTGCTGCCAATGAACCAGATGAGAGGCCCCGGCGTCCTGGCCTGGATGAGGAGGCAACGGAGGAAGGGGCCTCTGGGTTAGTCTGAAAATCAAGTCCAATGACTCAGATGGCCCGAATCTGAGGGACCAGTGACAAACAATGAGGGTGCAGAGTGAGTCATCTTACAGACTTCTCTCTAGCCTCTGTGTCCACCTCACTTTGTGGATAAGGAAAGTGACCTTGCCTCAGTACATCACAGTTCTTTCATCTGTAAGTAAGCAGAGTTCATAACCTAATGAAGCAAGATTTGTGTGTGTTGGGGGACAGGGCATGATGTTCTGAAAATTTTCAGTTTTGACTATGAAAATCCCCAAGTGGATTATTTGATGTCTACTGGATCCCCAGTTTCTCTGCCTTTCACACTTTCCTAGGACTGTGCCTGGAGGTCACACAGTAAGCTGGCCAGACTCCCATGGGACTAAGTACCTAGTGGATCAATAATGTCCCCTTCCCCTCCACATTCTCTTCCCTGCATGCCTGGCTTGTCCTCTCTCTCGGAGACCAGTGAGCTATGGAGTGGGCATGTGGACTGGAAATGGGACACAGGGAAAATGTCTTGTTCTAAGGAGGAACCAGGAAACTTCAGTCCATTCCCGAATCATTCAGAGTCCAGGAAGTAGGACCCATTCTGGAATTGAATCAGAATTTAAGTCATTTCAACACTCTGGGATTTGGAGTGGACCTAAGCCTCTATGGGGACATGAAATCTACTTAGCCTCCTGAGAGTACCCTGTATTGTATGAATATAGAAGGGGCATACTACCTCTTCCACTCCTACCTCCATCCTCATCACACACATTAGGACAGGGCTTAAAACCAACTGGGAGCAATTACACAGGGAGCTGCCTTGATTGGAAGCCCTACTTACTCCTTATTCCTGAATTCCATCAGCAGTAGTTTTTGTTTTGGTGAAATAAATAAATAAATAAACGAGAGAGAAAGAAACCACATTGAAATACATAGTTTTTTTTTCCAAAATACGTTTTTCCCGTGAACTTTTTTGAAGACCCCTTCATATTCTTGGATTTCAATTCTTACACCAAATAAACTTCTTTTAATCTATTTTGATGACATTTTGAAGTACCCATGTAGTTTTGACACACATTAAGAAATTCAGGGGGGCTGGTGTTATGACATGGCAGATTAGGCCACTGACTGCAGCACCAGCGTCCCATATAGTCATCAGTTCATATAAGTGTTGGTTCAAGTCTCTGCTGCTCCACTTATGATCAAGCTCCCTGCTAATGCTTCTGAGAAAGTAACAGAAGGCCCAAGTGCTTGGATCCCAGCTACCTGCATAGGAAACCCAAATGGAGCTTGTGGTTCCCGACTTTGGCCCTGTCCATTGGGACTATTTGGGGAAGTGAATCAAGTCTCTCTTTCTCTCTCTGCCTCTCATCTTTCTCTGTAACTCTGCCTTTCAAATAAATTAATTAATTTTAAAAAAGAAAAGAAATTAAGGAAGCTGGGAGATCTGAATTGGGTTCCTGGCTCCTAATATCAGCCATTCTGGGCATTTGGAAGAGAACCAGTGAAGGAAACTCTCTTTGTCTCTCTCTCTCAAATAATAAATAAATAAATATTGAAAAAAGAAACAGGCAAAACTCCACCACTCTGCCCTCTTCCAACAGTTTCCCAATCTTCTAGAAGTCTAAGGATAGAGATGGATTCCTAAGAACCTGAGAATGCACACAACAGTGGATTTGGCAATAAGGGATGACAATAAGGAAGAGAAGTCTTTTGATCTCTTTCAACTTTTGGCTAGCAGGCCAGTGGAAGCTGGCTTTAGGGGCCAGGGCGTGTGTCTGGAGTACTCAGTTGAGCTCCACCCCCAACACATATATCCCACCACCCCTCAACCTCAGTCTGCTAACGGATTTCTCTGAATTCATTCAGGCCTTTTGAAATCTGTTTCTCACATGTCAGTCCTTATTTAAATCCTATTAGTGGTTATATAACCCCTGGATAAAGACCTCACTGAGGTCCCTAGGGCCTGACATAATCTACCCCTGGCGTATCTCTCCCATCTGTAATGTCTGAAGAAATAAGATGTGAGTGACAAATATATATGATTTTCAATTTTTTGAGAGCCACATTTAAAATTTTGCAAAGAAACAGAAAACAAATTCTTAAGGGAATATTTTATTTAACCCAAAAAATCAAAAATATTATGATGTGTAGTCAATATTTTTAAAAATAAGATACACAGTGTCGACACTGTAGTGCAGTGGGTTAAAGCCCCAGCCTACGGTGCCGGCATCCCATATGGGAACTGGTTCGAGTCCCAGCTGCTCCACTTCTAATTCAGCTCCCTGCTATGGCCTGGGGAAGCAGTAGAAGATGGCCCAAGTCCTTGGGCCCCTGCACCTGCGTGGGAGACCCAGAAGAAGCTCCTAGCTCCTGGCTCCTGGCTCCTGGCTCCTGGCTCCTGGCTTCGGATCAGCTCAGCTCTGGCCATTGAGGTCATTTGGGGAGTGAAGTAGCAGATGGAAGATTCTCTCTCTCTGGCTCTACCTCTCTCTGTAACTTTGTCTTTCAAATAAATAAAATAAATCTTAAAAAAAAATAAAAATGATACACGTGAACATAGAGTTGTATTTCTTCCTTTCCAATTTAGAGGCCTTTTTCCTTCACTTTTTTATCTCATTGCACTGGTGTTAGCCAAAAACCTATAATAGACATGCTTGCCTTGTGCCTAATCTTAGGAGGAAAGTGTTCAGTTTTTTATTATAAGTACAAAATCTTTGTTATGTGTTCTTCATTGATGCCTTTATCAGGGTAATGAAGTTCCCTTCCCTTCCAAGTTTGCTGACAGCTTTTCACTGACATTGAATTGGATCAAATGCCTTTTCCGCATCTGCTGAGATGATCGCATGGCTTGCTTCTTTAGTATGCTTAATTTTATCAATTTTGAGTGTTGAACCAGTTGTATATGTTGGAATAAATCCCACTTGGTCATGATATATATTCTTTTTGTATATTATTGGATTTAATTAGCAAAGATTTTTCTGAACCTTTTTATGTTTGTAAGACATATTGGCCTGCAGTCTTCTTTCCTGTAGTGTCTTTGCCCAGTGTTGGCATCAGGATGACATTGACTTCATGGAATGAATTGGGAAACACTCCTTCTTCTCCAATTTTCTGGAAGAGTTTGAGTGTAGTTCATAGCGGAATTGGTATGTTCAGTAGAATTCACCACCGAGGCCGGCTGGACCTGATGGTTTCCATATGACAGAAATAAATGAATTAATAAGTGTCAATTACCTAGAACTGTGCATGGCTTGTAGGAAGTTCTGATAAAGGTTAGCTTTTAACTTTTTAAAAGTTATCTACATTTCCAATTAAAATGATAAATGTTTATTTCAAACTTAGAAAATATTTTTAAATTTTAGGGAAAAAAGCCTCACAATATCCTACTATCAAATATTATTGCTGTTTGCATTTTAAAGTATTTTCTAGTCTTGTCCAGAAATAACTTATGCTTGCTTATATTGTTATTATTTATATTACCCTTTATTCATTTAGCATTTGATTAATATCTCTCATGTCAATACAAGTTGTTCACAAATATAATTTCAATGATTATACATATTCCATTATATGGTCATACCATAATGTATTTAATCATCATTTTGTATTTTTAGGATTGTTCTACTTTCCATGAACAATAGATCCAAGCCCCTCTCTCCTGCATGTCTAAATATTTAATATAGACACAAATTCAAACCCTCAAATGATGTTTCTAAGTCTTCACTCTGTGTATGGTGTGCTTGCCAGGCCTCTAGGCACTGAAATGTGTCCCAGTATCTGTAGCTTGCCAGGGAAATGACATTTTATGTTTATTTCCCTTCTCCCTTTTTACCTTCCTGTCCTTCCCTTCTTTCCTTCCTTCCTTCCTCACTGATAGCAGTAATGCTTATTGTGTGTTTACTATGTATCAAACAATGTACCACAGGCTTCCCAAATTGTACCATAATTAAAAGTGGGAACCATTACTATCATCTCTATTTTAGAAATGAGAAAACTAAAGCCCCAAACTGTGAAGGAAGTTTTCCAAGGTCATGCAGTAGCAATTGACAAAAAAAAGCCTTCAGGTTGCACAGCTCACATGGCTAACCACTATGACATTCTGTCTCTCAACTTCTACCTCTGAACTTTTTATGTGACTTCCCCTCTTCACCTAGGCTATTGACTCGAGATGTTGTTTATTCTGGCCCAGTTCACCTGTTCCACACATCTGTCCCCCACTTGGGTTTGGGGTTCAGTCCTTCCTTTTTCTTTATTATATGTTTCCTGCTTTTTTGGTTACTTACAGTTTGAATGACTGTTCTCCGCTTAGCCAACTAGAACACACATAATCTCAAACTAGAAATTGGAATATATTATCTAACAAAAATATTCTTTTCCTTACTTTTGTAAATGTTTTCATGAACCCTATGATGATATTTTTAAATGACATTTAAGCATTCCATTAAAAATTTTATTGAAAATAGTAAAATGAAGTAAAAATGAAGACCATGCTGAATAATGAAAGATACAGCAATAAACCTCAGCAAGTTGTACACACTGGTCACAAAAGTCTACAGGTTTCCTGAGATCCTAAAATGAGAGATTAAGAAATATCATTGATTTACTGTAACCCTTAAAAAGAGTAATGTTTCTGCCTTTGTCTGGAAGATTTATATTTTGTGTTGTGAGGCTACAGGATGGCTTCAGCTGTCTCTCTCTGTGTGTGGCTATATTCCAGACAATGAGATTTGGGAGAAAAATCTGTGTACATGTACCCTATTGAAGCTCTGGCTTTCAGTAAACTTGTTCTTGAGTTGTCTTTGACACAACTGACGGGCTCAAGCTCGGCCCTAGACAGAACTGTTTTTCCAGTTCATTCCTTCTCAGTGCGGGTCTCACAGCGCCTTAGAAAGACCCGCCTCCAGCTGCCAGCCCCTGGCTTCTGGGCCTCTCTCGGCTCCCCAGCCACCTCGGAGCTGCCCGGAGCAGGCACACACACACACCCCCACCCCGAGCGGAGCAGGAGGAGGAGGAGTGCCCGGTTCCTCCGCTCGACCAAAGTTTCAAGCTGCTGACCTGCCCGGGTTCTATTTCCGGTTTTGTTTTTCCTACTGTGAGGTCCCCCTAACTCTGGGCGTCTTAGCGTCAGACGGGTCCCCAGAAGAGCAGACATCAATCACCGAAGCAATCGCAGAGGTAATGGACGTGACGGTGCTCCGTCGCTGTTTGTGAAAGAAAAATAGCCAGTTTCCTAAGTTACCCAAAGTAAACGCGTCTAAAAATTTAAAATTGGGAAAACGAATGAGCAGCAGCTGTCATTTTTAATTCCGGGGAATTTTTACAGAGTAGTTCCAAAATTGCCCTCCATTTCATTTTCGACTCAAAGGAAAACGTACCCCGAGGAGGAAGAAAACTGGAGGATGCGGGCATCGATCCCGCTACCTCTCGCATGCTAAGCGAGCGCTCTACCATTTGAGCTAATCCCCCACCGCTGGGCACGGCTGCTTATCTTTTCCTCTAGAGAAGGGTCAGAGCGTTGAGCCTGAGAAGATAAACTCCCTCCGCAATACTTCTGCTCATGCTTCGACTGAGGGGAAAAAAATGACAAAACGAAGCCGCTGCTCCTTCGAGCCGGAATCGAACCAGCGACCTAAGGATGGCCGCGGGCAGGCGCCTACAGTCCTCCGCTCTACCAGCTGAGCTATCGAAGGGAGCGGAGGGCCGGGCCGCCGCCGGGTCCCCACGACAGCGCACCCTTTTCCAGGCGTGCGTGTTGTTTTGTTCTCTTCCGGATCCCCAGCTTCCTGAACCCTTCTTGGCGCGGACCTGCCGCCTCCTCACGGCCGCCGGAGCGAGCCCTCGCGCGGCTGACCGGCCCGGGGCCGTGAGGAAACCACGCGGGCCTGGGCCCCGGGGAGCCTGCCCGGCCGGGCTTGGCCGCGTTCGCCCCCTTCCCTGCAAGCCGGGGGCTTTGGGAACGCCAGACTGTTTGTTTAGCAACAAGCACTAGGCCAGGACCCCGATACCGCGATCGCAAAATATTCCGCACGAGTGGTGCCACACACGCGCCGGAGCGACAGTGCTAGAAGAGCCCACCGGTCGTTGGGGTGTAAGTTGTGAGAGGGACCCTTGCAGGCGGGGAAGCTGTGGAAAAATGACACACCCGTCTCCTTCGAGCCGGAATCGAACCAGCGACCTAAGGATGTCTCCTGCTGGGGAATCAGCTACAGTCCTCCGCTCTACCAGCTGAGCTATCGAAGGGACGTGGTGGGGATGAGCGCCCCCTGAGATTCAACCCAGGTGTAGGCCTGCTTCCTCGTCGGTCGGGCATGGCAACACGCATGCGTAGTCGGACACACACGCGCCCCGCCCCTCCCCAGGCAGTGGGCGCCTGGGCGCTTTGCGCTTGCGCGGAATGACGGTGCGGCTCGTATCTGCGCGCCCCACTACGAACTGGGGGCAGGGCCCCTGCCCGGGGTGTCCTCGCCCTGCGGGGCAGGACCCTGCGACAGCACTGCCACCCCTGCCTGCCTGTCGCACTTCGGGTTTACCAACCTGGAGCGACTGTCGGGTGTGGCCTCACCGTACTGTAAATGGTTAGGCTCGTCACGGGTGAGTGTGTGAAGGGCCAGTGGCGCAATGGATAACGCGTCTGACTACGGATCAGAAGATTGTAGGTTCGACTCCTGCCTGGCTCGGCTTTTGTCACCTCAGTTTTAAAAACCAGAATTCCTTTCCTAACCGTAAATTCCACCAGTTGTGGGCCTGCCCTTGTCTCTGCCTCCTTGTTGGTTTCCTGGCTCCAACACCCTGCAGCTTCTGCGGGGTTAAAGGAAGGAGGACCCGGGGCTGACCGATCGCCCCCCGTTTGGCGCCGCGGGACCCGGGCACGAGCGAAGCTCCCAGATCACGCAGAGCTGGTTAAAATCCCAGCTGTGCTTCGGCTGCAGCTGGGTTCCTCAGGTCCAAAACATTGGAACCTTCCTCACACACCCCTGACAAGGCAGAGAGAAAAATTAACGTAAAGTGTCCCTTTGATCGCGTTCCAGTCTCACATTTAATTTGAACAAAGATGTTCATTTTCCGATCAGGCCTGTGACCCTGCTTTGTCCGGCCGTTTTTGGAAAGTCATTTTCAGAGGTGGTTCGCGAATTAATAATATGCGACCATTTCTCGAAGTGCTGGGCTCTCCAGTTTATTTAGCGCTGCATAAAAATTATTTAATGTCTTGGAGTCCCCAGCCCAGGGGTCTTTGACCTCAGAGGGCATAGTGTTGTTTTGAGCAAACTTGAATTTGTACTAATTTATCAGTTTTATTTGTGGAAGGAATTTTGGAATTATTTTTGAAATCTCCCCTAATAAGATAGCAAATCCCAAGAGTGAAAGTTTTCATGCAGTGTCGTCAGGAAAGAGAAAATTAGGGAAAACAAAAGGACTAGTTAGTTTTCTAAGTGGGAAAGCTGCTTCCCTAAGACTGCACAAGTGGTCTGAAGAAGCTACAATCTAAGTGGAGGACAAGCTCAGACTATTTGGACAAAATGATGCTGGTTTGTGGGTTTTTTTTTTTTTTTTTTGTGTACATTTTGACATTTTTGTGTTTAACAAACTGCCACCTCTTTAAAGTTACATAGTGTTTCTGAGAGTTTAAAAATCACCACCATGGGAAGTTGGGGAGATATGTTGCACCCTTCTTAATGTTCATGAACAGAACCCTGTAAATTAGGCTAAGAGGAAAGGACTTTTGTCTTTTTTTCCTGCCTTTTCATTATTTTACAAGGGTGGCAAACAAGATATTTCTTCTCTGGAGATTCAGGGCCCTGGCTATCGTTGCAATGCCACACCAAACCTTGCCTCTTGGGGTACCCCCTTCTTATTCTGCCCACTTCCTCAACACTAAGCTTGACCAAATAGCAGGTGCCAGGAGAGCCAAGAGAGCGTGGTTTCTGGCTCTTCATTGTAACTGAAAATCACATAGAGCTAGTATAAGCAAGAAACATATGTTGTAATGATCCAGAGGTGTACTTAAGGGACCAAGTACAAAATGCGCCTAGGCCTAAAGGCTTCCCTGTGCCTCTCGGCTGCCCTCAGTGCTTCTGTAGTGCATATATTTGGAAACATGGTGCTCCCTCCCACCCTAAAAGTTGTCCAGCTTTATCCCTCCCAGTCTTTAACCCCAAGAGTCCTTCTCTTTCTCAGGCCTGAGTCTCAAACCCTCCATTGTTCTGGCCTTATTTAGATGCTCACCTCACTCCCCTGCCCTCAGTGTCCAGGGGTGAGAATTACATATATGGTTGGGCATATGTGATTGTATCCCTTCCTTCTCAGTAGGGCATTGAAAAGATAAAGACACAAAAAAGAAAAATCTGTTGCATTATGGAAAACTATAGTAAGCACAATCAGCACACCAGAAATTTTAAGTAAGTTCTAGGAGGAAAAATTTTCTGTGAAATTGACACATCTAGCAGGGAGAAAACCACGGTCCATTCATGCACATTCTGCAAATTAGCAGAGACCAAACCTCTCTCCCTGCAGAGCTCCCAAGAGTCTCCAGGCACAGAGAGAGCAGCACAAAGGTCAGTTGCCCATAACCCTGAGCAGCTGTGGCTGAATTCGTCCGCAGCTGGAGCCCACTGGAGAAGTGCTTAGGCAGAGTAGATTTTCCTGTAGAGAGCTGGTAGAGTGATTATAGTGCTGAGGAAAGAGGCAGCGCAGAGCCTAATAATAGTCACAGAGGGAAAAGAAAAGCCTACCTAGCCGGCTCTCAGAATGAGTACCTCCTTAAGTTAGCAGTTTTGGGGGATCTTGGGCCATGGATCATAAATGAAATAGCCTGCTGTCACCAGACCCCAACCATTTTAGAAACGAATCAATGTAGTCTTTCATTCATGAATATGAACAAGCATTTGCCACACATTAGAGAGGAAACAACAACACTTTAAAAATAAAGTCCAAGCTGAACTAATTAAATGACCCAAGAAGAAAACAGGAATAATTTGAGAACTAGAACAGAACTAGTTTTTTAAATGCTAATGACTATCCTCAGGGACATCCAAGAGAGTATCGCAGCAATGAAATCAGAACAATGATATTAGAAGGAACAACTGGAGAATATTAATAGAGTTCTTGAAAACTAAAACTGTGATGGATAGGATGAAAAATGATTGATCAGTCATGACTGAAGGCCAAATATGAAGATATAGAAGATAAAAATGGAAAATATCTCCCAGGATACCATGAAGGAAAAAAAAATAAGAAAAACAAAAGCATGAAAGACAGAATCAGAAATCAACAATGGCTATCTAGTAAGAGTTTCAGAAATCAGAATGTACGGACCATAGGGAGTAAGGGGGACGGAAGAAAGACATTAGTCATCAGCTCCAAGTGTCATCTACTAGGATACCTTAGTGAAATTTAAAAGCATTAAGAATAAACTCAAAAGCTTTCATGAATGAGGGCAAAAGAAAGGAAAAACTTGGCTTATCTACAAAGGAATAAGAATTGGATTATAATCATACTTCATCAGCAATATTGGATATTAGAAGACAGTATAGCAAGACCATCAGAATTCTGCACAGAAATATTTTGAATCTAGAATTATATACCCGATCAAGGTGGCAACTGCATATAAGAACAGAGCCCACACTCTCAAGTTCTCATTAAGTTTAAATCCATGATTCCTTTCTGAAAGAAACCAAAAAGTGAACATTAGTTAATATGTTATACTAGTTGAGTTCTCCAGGAAACTGAAACTCATACAGAATTAGAGTGCAAAATTTTATTGGGTAGTAATATCTGTGAATGGAAAAGGGAGGGCACAAGATTGGGTAGGGGTAGCCATCACTACAAAATTGGTAGTTTCTGAGCAAAGATTTCCCTCAGAAGAGTCTTGAGTTGTGCAGAGATGGCTTGTTCCTGCTACCACACTCTTGCTTAATGGTTGGCCAAAGGTTGATAATCTCAGCTAGAAATTTGAGGTGGACCTTGAAGAAGTTAACTCCAAGAGGCTGTGAGTTAACCAGCTTCCTTGTAGCTGGGCAGTGAGCCCTTTCTTGAAAGACATCTGTCATCTATGTTTGCCACAGATGTACTTCAGCAAAACAAAACAAAAATCCAAGAAAGAGGAGTATGCCAAATTTAAGAAAAAAAGGAACCAAACTGGGAATTGAATAAAAATAAGCCCAGGTTTACAGAAACCATATGGTTCAAATAAAGCAAACTAAAATGTGGCACAATTTTAAAAACTAAATGAGATGTTTCTATGGGTTCGTTATCTTTTCCCCTCCCTCCAAATTCATATGGTCAATATCTAGCCCCAGTGCCTCAGAATGTGACTGTATTTAGAGTTAGGGCCTTTCAAGAAGTAGTTACATTAAAATGAAGTCATTAAAGTAGGCCCTTAATCTAATAGGAGTAATGTGCTTATAAAAACAAGAGCTCTCTGCTGTGGCCGGGAGTGCAGTGGAGGATGGCCCAAGTGCTTGGGCCCTGCACCCCATGGGAGACCAGGAGAAGCACCTGGCTCCTGGCTTTGGATCAGCGCAGTGTGTCGGCCGCAGCACGCCGGCCGTGGCTGCCATTGGAGGGTGAACCAACGGCAAAGGAAGAAGACCTTTCTCTCTGTGTCTCTCACTGTCCACTCTGCCTGTCCAAAAAAAAAAAAAAGACAGAAAGAAAGAAAAAAACAAGAGCTTAGGGGCCAGTGCTGTGGCACAGCAGCAGGGTAATGCCCTGGCCTGAAGCACTGGCATCCAATCCAGCTCTCTGCTGTGGCCTGGGAAAGCAGTAGAAAATGGCCCAAGACCTTGGGCTCCTGCATCTGTGTGGGAGACCCGGAAGAGGCTCCTGGCTCCTGGCTTCGGATCAGTGCAGCTCCAGCTGTTGTGGCCAGTTGGGGAGTGAACCATCAGATGGAAGACCTCTCTGCCTCTCCTCTCTTTGTGTAACTCTGACTTTCAAATAAATAAATCTTAAAAACAACAACAACAACAACAAATGAGGGCTTAAAAAAGAGACTTCTGCCATATGCATACAGAGTGATGGCCATGTGAAGACACAGGGAGAAGGCAGTCATCTTCAAACCAGAGAGAAGTCTTAGAACAAACTTGCTGACACCTTGATCTTGGACTTCTAGTTTCCAAAACTGTGAGAAAATGAGTTTCTGTTTGAAAGTCACCCAGTTGATGGCATTTTGCAGCCCTAACAAATATAGGGATCATGGAAAAATAATTTGGATTTTTAAACATCCTTTCATATTGTTGTATTTTTAACTGTATGCAGGCATTTTACATAACACATGGGACAGAGAGCCCTTCTGTTGTCATCTAATACAGACACCATCTAATAAAAATTGCTTAACAATAAAGGAACTGGGCAGGCATTGGGCCTATCAGTTAAATTATGGGTTGAGATATCCCCATCCTGTATGGGAGTGCTTGAGTTCAAGTGCTGGCTCTGCTTCTGATTCCAGCCTCCTGCTAATACACACCCTGGAAGACAGCTGATGATGGCTGCTGCCACTCATGTGGGAGAACTGAACTGAGTTCCAGGCTCCTGGCTTCAGCCTGGTCCAGCCCCAGCACTGGGGCGTGAACCAGCAGATAGAAAATCTCCATCTCTGTCTCATCCCCTGTCTTGAGATGAAAATTGACTTAAAAAATAAAGGACCTGATATCTAAGGTTGTGAAGTGACTTCACCTAAAGAAATAGAGGAGGGCCGTTTGCAGGTCAGGAAAATGGAGGGATGCTGTGCTTCTGACAATGGCACACTGATACAGATGACCAGAAGCAAAATAAAACGCTACAGAGTATATATGAGAATACTTCCAGAAGCTCACAGAAATGGAATTGAAAGATAAGTTAATTTTGACACAAAATATTTCAATATCTGTGCATGCAAGAGAGTATTAAAAAATTCATGAAAACTGCATATTATGGAAAAAGCCATAGATTTCAATTTTTGCAGCAAAATAAACACCTTAAAATTTTTATTTGTTTATTTTCATTTAGAGTAGTGTATCTTTCAGGTTTGGGAAGCTAAAGATTTAATTTCCCAGTATGCTACACATTGAGTTCAAGAAATAATTTCAAAGTACAATTGTACAAAAAAGTTTTAAGTGAAAATATTTCATATGAAAGTTATGCTAGTAAGTTAATAAATGTAGAGACAAGTTTTTCATTACCTGATGATTTTCATTTATGTCCTTGAAATCTACATTAGCTTTAAAATATTGCCAAAGTTATAATAAATTATTCAGAACAATGATGGTTTAAAAACTAGGTGATGTATGCATGCCCAAATAGAGCATGTTCCAAAGCTTAAGAAATGTGAGAGTTTCATTCTCAAAGTGACAATATGCACTAAAAAATTTCCCCCAATTATTATTCTTCACCAGATAGGAAAATGTATTGCACATGAACACTTTAAGAAGAGATGATGGATCTGGACAGCATCTCAGGAGTGGAGATATTTGGTGGCAGAGCAGATGACTCCAAAGCAACAGCAAAAAGCCTTGCTGGGTAGGATGCCTTCTTCCTGGTGGTGGGAACAGGATGTGCCCAGAGGGCTTTCAGGGGTTGGAGAAGTTGATGATCAGATTGTGAGCTATTAGAAAGCTCAGTCGGCAGTCCGGCAGTCCGGAGGTGAGCAGACTGTGTTAGCAGCTGTCCTGTAACTGCTGATTTGATTCTAGGAATTTAGTTTTGCTTCTTGGGGTCAGCCCTGGAACAGCATGAACATTCCAGAACGTTGTATTGTACTCACCGTTTCATTTGCCACGGAGCATACTTAGGGTTCAGCTTGGAGAAAGGCTTTCCTCAGAAAGGGCATAGGTTGTAAGAATTAACCAGTTAACCAACAGGTATTTACTAGTTTCCTCTTTTGTTTTCAGCTCTGTTGGGAAGTACAGGTGTAAACCGTGACTCTACAATGCACTCCTGGAAGTCACTGCTAATCTGAGTTGTCTACAGCGTGAAGGTTTTATTTTATAGGACCTGGTTATGTAGGGTTTTAATCTCAATTTCTGGCCATCTGTAGCTTAGAAATACTCAAGGATTCTGTAAGATGAACGTTAGGTGCCTAGGAAGACTGCAGGCTGTGAAGAAGAATGCTTTTGGAGAGTTGTGTTTTTTGAATAAAGGTTTTTCTCTCGCTGGAAAAAGGCTGGTGTTCTGGAAACGGACATTCACGTCAACCTAGATGAGGATTTAGGTGCTGGCATGTTAAATAAGTAACTCCGTAATCAGGAGCTTGACTAGGCACCAAGCTAACAGGAATGCAGTGACATGGGCATTTCTTTTTCATCCTTCTATCTTTATTTCAGGAGTATTCCATAGAAAATATTAATGTGCAAAAAAATTATACGCTAAACTGTGGTGGAGAAGGCCATGCCAAGGTGGCCACTGGCAAGCGAGCGTCAGTTACTCAGGGATGGCTTTGGAAACTGCCTGGCAACAGGCTGTGATTGGATGGCTTTGGAAACTGCCTGGCAACAGGCTGTGATTGGTTGGGGCATAGACCGCCCCTTGACCAGATTGGCTGGTCTTGGCTATATAAGATGTTGTACCAACTGAAATAAACGAGTCTGCCGGCTGCTCGCCTCAAGCCTGCTTTCACCCGACACCCGGGGTCTGTGTGGTGACTCCGCGCCTCTTGCCCCCACCGCGCTGCTCCTCTCAGAAATGAATCCACTGCAACATTATTGAGAAATCAACGGCAACACTAAACCTCCCTAAAAAATGAAGGAATCTAGATGCTTTTGTACAATACAGGTTAAATTCTCACTTAACAAAGACTTTCTGATCATCAACTTTGTGTCAGGCAGACTTTAAGCACGGGAATACAGCAGGGCACAAAACCAGACAGAAATCCTCATCTTAATAGTATAGGAGACAGAAACTGGTAAAAATAAAGAAGTACGTTAGTGGAAGGTGCTAGGGAGGAAAAGCAGAGACAAGAACAGGGACCCATGTGGGAGGGGAGTGTCGCTATTCTAGACAGAGTGGTCTGAGGACACAGGGAGAGAGACATTGGAGAAAAAGTCTGGGGGAATCTCTTTTTTGCTCCAGATACATTATATGTTCTAAATTAATCTAACTCTGACTTGCAGTTTCAACTTAATAGGGTAGCCAGAAATTTTAGCTCAGTCAGACTTCGAGAATCTCTGCTCCCTAGGTTTGTGAGGGACTGCAGGGAGTTCTGTCTTGGTTCTCCAAGTGAGTGTCAAGCTTCCATCTTACTCCAGCATGGCTGCTCTTGAGGATTCAATGTCTAAGCTTGTGTGGTTCTTTGAGGGGCCATATCTTTGTAGTGTCTGTGAAGTCACCCCAGTATCCAAGTGCCATCCCATCATTAGAGGCTCCCCACTATCAGGACACACTCCTGGATCTCTACTCCAGATTCTCCAGTCCATCTTTCAAGGCCCTTCCAGTGGAGCCAGCTCTTCTCCTCAAATTTCAATAGGCACCATGCTAATGGTCCGAGCTCCCAAACGTCTGAGTGCTAATGCAGACTGTTAAGTGAAATAAGCCAAGCATGGTAGCCAGTTACCACATGATTGCACTTCTATGTGGAACCTCAAAAAGTTGAATGTATAGAAGCAGAGTGTAGAATGTATGGTGATTACTAGGAGCTGAGGAATAGGTGGAGAGTTGGGGAGATATTGGTCAAAACATTAAAAGCAAAAAAAAAAAAAAAAAGCCTGAGTGATTGGTTTTCAGGTATCTTGCTACCTCTGTTTTTAATTCCAAAGGCCATGGTAGCAAGGGAGTGACATTTTTAGGCTAAGACTCAGGAAAGCCCCCATTCTTGAGTCTCCTCAGCACTATGGACAGAATTAAATTAATATTTTAATAAGTTTCTTTGCTAGTGCATTCAGATAGTGAATGTGGTCTCTCTGAATCATTTTTGTTAATACACTCAAATAATTGTTAGTAAAATACTTGCATTATCCCTTTGCCTATTAGCATGGTGATTATTTGTGCTTGAAGTTGGGTGGTACAAGACATCCCTTTAAAAATATTCCTTAATTGGACTGTGCCTGTCTCTCCATCATCTGTTGGAGCACACTCAGAACAGCTTGTTCTATCTGATTGACCGGTAAATGTGAAGGTGGGGAGTTTGCCATGGGGAGTTTGCCGTGGGGAGCAGAATGGTTAGTGATAGTCAAATGGAAGAAAACAGAAAGTGGGACAAGGAAGACAGGAAAAGTACTGAGAAGCAGGAGAGAGAAGGGAAAAGGGAGGGGATGAAGTTGGAGGACACAGGACAAGAGACAGACGTGTGAGAGAAAAGCAGAATAAAGAGTAAGAAGGACAATGAAAAAACACGTTAGGAGCACCAATTGTGTTAATCCCATGCAGATCTTGAGGTCAGAAGGGTGACAGGGATATCACTGGGTCAAAATCAAGAGGGTGGCAGGGCTGTGTTTCTTTCTGGATCTTTAGGAAAGTCCATTTCCTTGAGTTTTCCAGTAACAGACCAACTTGCTTTTCACCCATGATCCCCCTTCGTCTTCCATCTTCAAACACATCTCTGATCTTTCTCTGATCTGCATCACCATCTCCCTAACCATTCTTCTATAGTTTATTCTCATTCATATCCTCTCTCTCTCTCTCCATCACCAGGGAAGTTTCTCTACATTGTGTGATTAGATTAGACCTGCCAAGATAATCTTCTCAAGTTCCTTAACAATCTTAAGAATCAGATCTGTAAAGTTCCTCTTGCAATGATATATTTACATGTTCTGGAAATCAGGACATGTACATCTTGGGGAAGGGGGGGCATTGTTATGATGCCTATCACAGAGATCATGTAGCCTTATCTGGATCCCTTTTTGTAAGTCAGAGAATCAGGTAGTGTACTCCCAGGTGAGTGTATCTTCAGGCCACATCAAAAGGGTTTTAAGTCTACATATCAATTGAAAAGTAGAAACAGAATATCACTGATTCTCAAAAATATTGCAATCTATATTTTGATTTTGGTAAAGATAAGCTCAGCAGCCAGAGACAGCATCATGGATGAGCCAAACAGGGAATGGTGGCTGGGTACTCCTGGGAGGTATGCCGTGCACTGCCACGTGGAGAACTGGCCCTACAAGGAGCTCTGCTCTCCTGATCCTGCTGAGTAAGGGAGTCTCCATAACTGCTGCACCCTAGAAGTCCCCCTCATCAGCAAGTGGTGCACATATTCCCTGGGCCTCTTTAGTCTCTTTGGCCAGTTGGGTGTTCTCATGATCGCCCTGATCTGCCTTCTGTGCTATGGGCAGCTCCTGGAGAAGAGCTGGCCCTGTAGGAGTGGGTGTTTGTCATCAATATCCACATTTTCTATGGCATCTTCAGCCACGAGGGTGGGGTGATCCCCTCAGATACTCTGGTGGCTGCACCGCACCCTTCCGCTGGTTGGGACTACAAATCCTCTGGGAGCAGCAGCACCTGCACCTACTTCAACCGTGTCTTGGAGGGTATTGCTGTGATCTGAGGTCTGGGGTGGGTGGCTGCCCTGGCATCCACAGAATCCCACCCCATATCTTTGCATTTATTTTGTACAAAAAACAATTTTGAGAAAGTATTCTGTTGAGATCTGGGCCTCCTTGTTTGCAGAGAAATGGCTAGCCCTCATCAACCCATACCACAGAGGAGCATGCCCTGACAGCTGCCTTAGTTGCATGATCTGTTCCCAACACTCGAGTGTTGTTCTGTCTTTAAAAGTCATCTGTCCTCATTTGCCCAGCCAGCCCTTCAGGTACCTTCTACTTCCAATGCCAGAGCTGTACCACGGGGGTTTCCTGATGTAAAAATTGGGGGCTAAGGGAGGTAGAAGTCAGGAGAGGCAGGCTTTAGTTTATGGGAAAACACAGGGTGCCAGCATTGTGAAGCACGTTAAGCTGTGGTCTGCAGTGTGGACATTCCATATGGGCACTAGTTCATGTCTCGGCTGTTCCACTTCTGATTCAATCCCTGTTAATGCACATGGGAATGCAGCAGAATATGAACCAAGTGCTTGGGTCCCTGCACCTACCTGGGAGACCCAGGAGAAGCTCTTGGCTACTGGCTTCTACCTGGCCCAGACCTGGACGTTGTGGCCGTTTGGGGAGTAAGCTGGCAGATGGAAGATATATCTCTCTCTCTTGCTCTCGCTCTTGCTCTGTAACTCTCTCTTTTAAATAAATAATCTTAAAAAAAAAAAAAAAACAAGCAAGCAAACAAGCTCACTACTTCAGGGCCCACTGCCTACCTAGGTGCCCTGGGATTCTTTACTCTGCCTTTCACTTTCTGTAGGGCAAATAACACAGAAGAAACACATGAGTATTTAGTGCTTTTAAAAAACCGATTGAAAGAATTCTGGGGCTGGTTTTGTGGCGTAGCAGGTTAAGCTGTCACCTGCAGTGCCAGTATCCCATATGGGGACTCGTTCAAATCCCAACTGTTCTACTTGTAAACCAGTTCCCTGCTAATGTGCCTGAGGAGGCACTGGATAATGGTCCAAGTCCTCGGAGTCCTCGGGCCCATGCCATTCATGTGGGAGAACCAGAAGAATTTCCTGGTTCCTGGGCCAGAGCTGGCTGTTGTAGCCAGTTAGGGAGTGAATCAGTAGATGGAAGGTTCCCTCTCTCTCTTTCTCTCTCTCTCCCCCCTCTTTCTCTCTGTAACTCTACATTTCAAATAAATAAATCTTTAAAAAAGAATTCTAATCTCCAAAAAAAGATAAATGCATGTATATGTCTTCTGTTATGTTCTAACGTAAGATGGTAAAAAGATAAACAGATAACTAGCATACCTTACATGAAATCCCCACTGAGGTAATGTGCCGCCCCAGGTTAGATGAAGTGAGCTGTCCATTTGACACTGCATGACTCCTGCTCAGGCTCATGGCCAGCCTTCTTTCCTTGATGCTTCCATTCTAAGCTGCTTATGGAGTCAGAATGACTGCAGGCGATTCTGGATGGCAGCTCCCATTGACCTCCCCCCACACCCCCCGCCCCCGGCTACTTAAGCGGCCTCCTCTCGCTGTAGCTGAAAGCGTTCTGTAGAATTCACTGTCTCTCACAGGCATTCACATACTTGCATTTGCCCCACATCATTGTAGCCAGAAACCAGGCCTTTGTGAGAGATGCTGACCACCACTCCTCCAGGGGTTTGATTCCCCACCTCTGATCCTGATTCTGATTCATGTCCTGTTCTCATCTTAATCACTCTTGCACCAGCATCCTGGGTGAGCTGGGAATGGAAGTAAAAAATTCCATGTGAAACAGAAAAATGAGGTCTGGGAGTGAAAGAGGAAAGGAGCTTTGTGATTTTAAAGTTGCTATTCAAAAATAGGTCTGACATAATACTTAGAAAGACTGTAGGAAAGAGACATAGTGGCTTAAATTGTCCACAGGCTGGGCTATTTATTTTATCCTTTCCTCCAAGTGGAAAGTAGCTTTTGGTTATTGAGGTTATTGATACTGGGTGTCTATATGGGCCTTGTAGGTAAGTTTATATGAAGGTGCTTCAAAATGTTAGTGTAAAATGGAATTAAAGTTTATTTTGGTGTAAAAATAATTTTTAAATCCATACATACATTTTCCATATATGCCTTTTCCTGAACCTTTTGAAGACCCTGGTATGTAAGGATTTCAAACATTTGTACACTAAAAGGTATCTTTCAGTTTTGTTTTCCATAAATTTGTGAAGTACGCTCATAAAGAAGACGTGTTACATTTGTCTGTATGTATCAACATATACAGTTTTCACCCAAAACTAACTTAACGTTTGTGAAACACTTGACTTCAGAATTCCTTCACCTCAGCTATCTCATCTGGTCTCATAGCAACTTGAAGGTGGTCAGGGCAGACATGCAAACAGGGTCATATTTCACTTGATCATAGGGGTAGTTAAGTTACTGAGAACTTACATAGAACCAGGCTTCTTGACTAGCAAAACAAGGCTCTTTCTATTTGATATATAGAAAAAAATCCCAGTAGCTCAAGAATTAGCACAGAGTTTTAATGGCTTCAAAACTATAAGAGAAATAACTAATTCTCACTAACAGTATATATTTAGCAGCAATTGACTGTAGTTTGGTATGGAAGGGGATAAAAAAGAAAAAGGAAGATGGCATTTCATGCAATATTATATAAAAATATAACAAAGTCTTGAAAGTGCAATATTATATAAAGAACTAAGAAAGACCTAGGAAACACAAACATCTTTGCTGCTGTACTATTGCAGAAATAGCACATGGTTTCTAGTACGTGAGGAATTTAAGAATCAAACGAGCAGAGATGACCTCAGAGCTTAAATTGCCCAGTATCCTGAGCTCAGCATTTTCTAATCAATGTAATTAATTTCACCAAAATAATATATCTTTAAATGTAAATTTAGACTATAGAATTTAGAATTCTACCCCTACCTCATGTATTTCTTTTACTCAGTATGGCTAATCTGGACCACTTAAAATATTTTACTAAAAAATGATCAATGCATGTTTTTGGGACAGGTTCTAGCTCAGAATAATTTTGGAATCTCTTATAAGATTTAATCAGGTTGAAGTTATTTTTTTAAAGTCAATCTAAAAGTACACATAAAACCTGTTTCTTCCTGGTTTTACTTGTCACTTTTCAGTAAATGTCAATTTTCAATCTTCCAAAGACAACTTAAAGCAATGTGATTTGTCTTTTTTAAACCTAATTGTCCTTTCTTGCTTTTTGAAATGTTTCTATAACCATGGTGAATATTGACAAAGAACTCCACACACACACACACAAATCCTCCTAAATGCTCATGTCTATTTTGCTGATGATTTGTGGCTGATATGAATACTGCAATTAGATAAGTGGATGAAAAGTGGCTTCTTTTTTGGGTACAACTTTAGTCTGTGAGAAGTGAGGTCTGGGCACACATAAAGGACAAGCTCATAAAAGCTTCCTAATGCCACTGTCTTACCTCATGTAAGGAGCATAAAACAGCTCTTTGGGCCTTTATTCATCACAATTGAATATGTTTCATTAGAAATTCTACTCAAGAAGAAAGACTGCCTACTGAGAAAATTATATACCAATCATCTTTCCCTAACATAAAAATAAAATACAAATGTGGAAAAGTTCACAGCATCTCATTGCCCCTCTTTCTCCATGATCACCTGGAGACATGGCTGAACCAAGAGGAGGTAGTGTGGACCCTCAATGGGCTCAATATCAAGAGTCTGTGCAGTAGCTTCGAGGTCCTTCTTTGATTAGCTGTGTTTTCTCATTTGCGTTTGTGGGCTGGAGAACAACCGGAAAGTCCATATCTAAAAACAAGGAAAGCAAAACAATGAACATAATCGTATCACATGACAGTCCTTTTAATGGGGTAAATGATAGGTATTTTTGTTGAAATGAGTTTGCAAAATGAATTCAAATATATTAAAACAGCTACTCTTTCAAGGACTTCAAAAGGAAGGAGGCACTATACCATTACTCTTCATTCAAGTTCTATCTGTTACAGAATTTTTAGACCGAAGCACTAAACCCAGCTTTCACCTTCAGGATACTTGCTGAACCTAGTGTACTTGAACAAGTGTTCAGCATCTTATGGGGAGCGAGACAGGGCTATCTCACATGCTTGTGCAGTTGGTCATGCACAGCTCCATGGGGTGGCTTTCAATGTATGCATCTATATGAAAAACATATGTGAAAGCTACCCCCTAGAGTTCTGTGGTATGCAGCTGCATATATGGCCCTCACTGGAGCAGAGTCAAAATCTAGGGTTTGCTTAGTTGGAGAGCCCAATAGGAAGCTGTCCACTTAAAGCTAGTGCCCAAAATGGTTATGCTCTCTCTAAATCACTATACTCCTAAATTTTCAAGGAAACTTGTTAGCTTTGAATTTTGGTTCCCAGTTGAGGAAGCTACCTGAAATATGTTTAATGGTAAGTTGATAAGCACACAAGTTGGCAGAGCAAGTTTGCAATACCTGTGTGTTCTAAGAAACCTCAAGGTGATCTGAAGAGATTATCCAGAATGTAATAGGGACAAAGAGAAAATATTAAAGAGGTTAAGAGACATGAAGGATAGAGTAATAATGTCTAACATAACTCATATGACTTTCAGAAAGAAATGAAAAAAGAAGAGAGGCAATATTTGAAGGTTTGATGTTAATGAATTTTATAAATGGATAAAAGATACCAATTGGTTTGATGGTTGTGAATTTTCTAAAATTGATGAAAGACATCAGTTTTTATATATATATATATGTAAAACATATTATATAGGAACTATATCTTTAGTAAAAAATCAAATAAATGACAAATAAATGGAGAGATACATCATATATTAATAGTTCTTTTTAACTAATCTATGGAGTCACAGTCATTCTTACCAAAATCCAAAAAGATTTTGCTTAAAGAAGTTTTGTTCAAGAACTTGACAAAGCTGATTGTGAAATTTAAATAGGAAAGTAGAAGACCAAAGATGTCTGAGACCCTTCTGAAGAACAAATTAGGAGGGCTTGCCTAAGCAGATACCAGAATTTTTATAAATGAACGTGCTGCCGCATACAGATGGACAGAATGAGCAAGGGACCAGAACAGAAAGCCCAGAAATGGGGCAGCTTCCTATACCAGCTTTCTGCTACTGTGCTGGGAAGCAGGAGGTAATGACCCAAGCACTTGGGTACCTGCCACTCAGAGGAAGACCCAGACTGAGTTTCAGATTCCTGGCTGGCTAAAGATTGGCCCAGCCCTGGCTGTTGCTGGGCATTTGGGGGAGTGAACCTGAAAATGAAAGATCTCTCTTTATCCTTCTCTCTCCCTGTCTCTCGCTCTTTCTCTTTCTCTTAGATAAATTGAATAAATACATAAGTAAACATCTAAGAGAAAGCCCAGATACTATTATATATGTATATATTGAATATGAGACTGTATCAAAATAAAGATTGGAAATCATTGTGCTGAGAGAATTGGTTTTTTATCTGAAAAAAAAAAAAAAACTGAAATAAGAACCCTATATCATTTCACATGTAAAAATCAACTGCAGATGGCAAAACACTTGCATGTGAAAAGCAAAACTATAAAACTCTAAGAAGACCATAAGGGAGAACACCACTGTGTCCTTGAGATTCAGAAAGCTTTCTTAAAACACAAAAATCATTACACATAAAGACAAGATTGCAAATTTGAACACATTAAAATTAAGGACTTTGATTCATCAGAAGACTCCATAAAAAAATGAAACACCAAGTCGCAGACTGGAAGGGTGCATTCTAAATAAACTTGAATGATAAAGAATTAATAACCAGAATATTTTCAAAAACGATAGGGAAAAACAAATGATATAATTAAAATCTTAAAAAAAATTCAAGGGCCGGCGCCGTGGCTCAATAGGCTAATCCTCCACCTTGCGGCGCCGGCACACCAGGTTCTAGTCCTGGTCAGGGCGCCGGATTCTGTCCCGGTTGCCCCTCTTCCAGGCCAGCTCTCTGCTATGGCCAGGGAGTGCAGTGGAGGATGGCCCAGGTGCTTGGGCCCTGCACCCCATGGGAGACCAGGAAAAGCACCTGGATCCTGGCTCCTGCCATCGGATCAGCGCGGTGCGCCGGCTGCAGCGGCGGCCATTGGAGGGTGAACCAACGGCAAAGGAAGACCTTTCTCTCTCTGTCTCTCTCTCTCTCACTGTCCACTCTGCCTGTCAAAAAAAAAAAAAAAAAATTCAATTGACATTTCATAGAGGAAGAAACCCAAATGACCAATAAACCCACGAAAAGGCATCCAACCTTACTAGTAACCAAGGAGATGAAAGCTAGAACCACAGTTGTATATTATTTTCCACCTACTAGATTGGCCCACATCTGCTGTCTGGTGATGCCAAGTGTCACCAAGCATGAGGAACAAGAAGAATGATCATTAATTGTAGTGAGAATGTAGCCGCAATAATTTTGCAGACCTCCTTGGTATTATCTAATAAATTGTAGATGTCAAAGATTCCTTTAACTAAGGAATCGTACCCCTGTGTATGTACTTAGAGAAATTCTTGCACTCATGCACTAAGAGACAAGTAAAAGAACATTCATAGCAGCTCTGTTTGCAGTGGCAAAAAGTGAAAACTGCTCAAATATTGGTCAGTAGTAGAGTGGATAAATAAATGATGGGATGTTATCACAGAATATTATACAACAATGAAAATAAATGCCAGCCACAATGTGGATGAATCTCAGAAACACAATATTGAATAAAAAAAATCAAGTTGTACAAAGCCAGTATTATTAAATTTGGAATAAATATATTAAATTAAAATGTATGTTTTTGTAATACTATAAATAATAAAAAGAAATAATTACAGATGATTCAACATGATTATTTCTGAGGAGGGAAAAGCAAACAATTCTAACAGTAATGGTAAGATGTAGAAAGTCAGGTCATAAAATTCGTATCTAGTTAATATTTAACAAAAACAGTAACAGGAGTGGGCCCTTATCCTGGCAGCCCTGATACCACATCTCACAGCAGAGTGCCCAGATTCATTACCTTGTTCTGGCTCCTGACTGTAGCTCCCCACCAGTGCAAACCCTGGAAGGCAGTGAATTGCTCAAATAGTTGGGTTCCTGCCACCCACAAGGGAGACCCTGATTGAATACCTATATTTTGGCTTTGGTGCTAGTGCAGCCCTGGCTATTGTGGGCATTTGGCATTTTTCATCCTCAGTAACTTTTTTTTTTTTTGACACGCAGAGTAGACAGTGAGAGAGAGACAGAAAGGTCATCCTTTTGCCCTTTTGCCGTTGGTTCACCCTCCAATGGCCGCCGCGGACGGCGCACTGCGGCCGGCATATCGTACTGATCCGAAGGCAGGAGCCAGGTGCTTCTCCTGATCTCCCATGCAGGGGCAGGACCCAAGGTCTTGGGCCATCCTCCACTGCACTCCCTGGCCACAGCAGAGAGCTGGCCTGGAAGAGGGGCAACCGGGACAGAATCCGGTGCCCTGACCAGGACTAGCACCTGGTGTGCTGGTGCCGCAAGGCGGAGGATTAGCCTAGTGAGCCGCGGCGCTGGCCCCCTCAGTGGCCTTAAGTTGCATTAAATTTATTATACTAAGCTTATATTCACATAAAGCTCTGGCTCCACCCATTCTTCCTCACTCCACCCTGTTTCATCTCAATCTGTATACCTTCTGAATTAGTGGAGTGCAAATTTAAAACCAATACAGCAGATGGGAGCATGTGTTTCTTTCTCTCTCTCTCCTCTCCCCCCACCAATAAATAAGATAAATAAATAAAACAAATAAAAGATTTATTTTTCACTTGCATCCACGTCAGGCCTCCTAGTGTTCAATTTGCCAATCCCTGTGCTGCTTCTTTGTCAGACTTATTATTTTGTAAATTAACTAGTTCTTTGCTTGATTATTTGTTTACTATTTGTGTCCCTGTGTCTGCTGCTAGATTGTAAGATGCAAAGATACCAGAGCCATCCTTTTTTTTTTTTTTTTTTTTTTGACAGGCAGAGTGGACAGTGGACAGTGAGAGAGAGAGACAGAGAGAAAGGTTTTCCTTTGCCGTTGGTTCACCCTCCAGTGGCCGCCGCGGCCGGCGCACCGCTGATCCAATGGCAGGAACCAGGTACTTATCCTGGTCTCCCATGGGGTGCAGGGCCCAAGGACTTGGGCCATCCTCCACTGCACTCCCTGGCCACAGCAGAGAGCTGGCCTGGAATAGGGACAACTGGGACAGAATCTGGCACCCCGACTGGGACTAGAACCTGGTGTGCTGGCGCTGCAAGGCGGAGGATTAGCCTAGTGAGCCGCGACGCTGGCCTTATCCTTCTTTTCTTTAGCCCTCAGCATAGTGTCAGGCAAATATTAAGTGTTCAATAAATGTTTGTTGTTGACATACTGTCTCAACAGACCAGCCTAGTAAATTTCTTCACTGAACACTGGCAGTCAAAAACCAAAGAAACTTCGGATCCACTTTGAGCTGCTTATTTGGGGAGCGTTCTGAGCTGACTCATCTGTCTTACTGTCCTGGCCTGGGGATTTGATGATGCTTGCTTGATATTTTCATATATAGAAGAAGCAAAGGGCTGTGGACTAGCTACAGGAATTATTTTTCAAGTATTATTTTTAGAAATTGACTCATTTTAATTGGAGGACAGGGTTGGAAAGGAGATTGAGTAGAGGTTGGCAAAAGAGAAAGGTTGAATTTAGTCTCTTCCTTCTTGCCTTTTTCTTGGGGAGTAAGAGGTGTTGAATGCTCAACAGCAAACATGTTATAAATGTCTCTGTAACTTGGCCAAGAGCAAGAGCCATATGGCCTCTTTAGCT